GATACACCAGAGAGGCATGACTTTACATGCACAGCTAATTTAGTTAAGCACACAAAGACCTGTGTGTGTGTCTGTGTAGAATAAGCTGACCACACTAAACAGAAACCAGCCTGCTTCATTTAAGGAACGCTTCACCAAAAACAATCAAATTTACAGTTCTCCCCCTAGGCCTGGGTGATAGTGTGGTGGATACTGGTGATCACTGACGAGTAACCCAATGATAGTTGCTGTGTGGGGAAGGAGAACTGGCGGTGAACTGGAGAGAACTCATTTAATTTAAACAGCTTACTAAATAATATTAAATAATATGTCTATGGTACATGCAGTTCATCTGGTATACTAACCCATACTCCAGTATGGGTTTTGTCATTACCGTTATAACAGTATAGCACAAATAAACACAGATGACGGGATGTACGAACAAAATAAACACACTAATGTTAACCCACTTAGCTGAATGGCTGAGTCAGGGGTGTTTCGGTCACGTTTCAAGTCAGGAAAAAAAACATAGCAGACCCTTGAACACCTCCCGATGTGCAGTCTGCGTCCACTTTGTTTTGAGGCAGCGGACATAAAGGAATGACCAGTATTTTCAGGTTAGCCTTACTAGAGTTACTGCCGTGCGTCCTTCCTTATCACCTGAGGAGCCACCTGACTCGGTCAGCTGCATCAGACGAGGCCGCGGATGAGCTTTGTGTACAAAACAAGTCGTGGCCCAGCTAGTACTGAAGTGTGAACAGGTTTATCTATATATTGTTTAGTTTCGTCTTCACTGTTTTGCACAATAAAAATGATTCTCACTAAAATACAAATAATACACCACTGTTGACTGACAAAATTAGGTCTACTTGAACACTTAAAATGGTTTTATTAAGTGTTCAAAGTGGACGCAGACTGTACAGCAGGTGGTGTTCAAGTGTCTGCTGTGTTTTTTTTCCACTTGAAACATGACTGAAACACCCCTGACTCAGCCATTCAGGTAAAGAAGTTAACATTAGTGTGTTTATTTTGTTTGTACATCCTGTGATCCGCAATTATTTGTGGCGTACTGTTATAACGGTAATGACAAAACCCATAACAGAGGAATTTCCATGTAAATATTATTTAATATTATTTAGCAAGCTGTTTAAAATGAAACGAGTTCTCTCTATTTTTCTTTACTCGCTTTTAAGACTGATATATGTAAATGAGCTCTGGTTGCTCTTTATTGTGCTTCATTCAAGTTCAAGTTTCAAGTTGATTTGTCATTTGCACAACATGTCAGGACATTCACGCATTGAAATGCTTGTGGTGAGGCTCAGATAATCACTACACTGAAAATAAACACAGTAAAAAATAAAAATACAAGAAAATACTGAAACTGAAATATATTAAATATACACAAAATACACAAAAAAAACCTCTCTGCTATGTACAAATATATTTATATTAAACAAGGGATAATCTGTGAAGAATATATACATTTATACATTGTAAAGTGACTAAAAAATGTATATATGTATATATTCTTCACAGATTATCCCTTGTTTAATTCAAAAAAGCAGCCCAGGCTAAAACACTCCTTAAAACTCATATTAAATAATATTCACATTTATTTAGCATGCTGGTCAAATTAAATGAGTTCTCTCTAGTTCTCTGTCGGTTCTCTTTCCCCATACAGCAGTTATCAGCTTTGCAGCATCGTCATAGGGTTATGCATCTATGACTTAGCTGATCTGGTGAGGGGGGGGACTGTCTAAATGTGAGCAGGTGTGAGGAATTCACCGCTCTTCATCTCAACGTTGTCTATTATCTGTTCAGGCTATTTACAGCAATGCTATTTGTGCTCCTGAACACAAATATGGTTTTCCAATGCTCCTGTGTTTAAAGGACAAGTGCATTCAGCCCCGAATAAAAAAGGTATGCAAAAAAAATTATCCCAGGAGGCGTTCGACCACATCCACCTGCTCCCTGGCCAATGCAAAACTACTAATAGAAGCTGTGCTATGACGCAATTTACCAAATAATTTGCCTCTATTGATATGAAACCTTCTCCTACCAGGAATAGACAATCTGTTTCACAATTAAACTCTACAATGAATAAAAATCCCTTGCTGAAAAGTCCTAGTTTCCTACAGTCTCTCAAACATTTATAACAGGGGCGTAACAATACACATACTTTTTTTAGGTTCAATTTAATTTTTGATTCTGAGGTCAAGTTTATAGTTAATATAATTTATTTAATATAATTTATTTAACATAAACTGTAAATATATAGTTCACAGATTATTTTGGCTCAAAAAAATCTTTATTTCAAAACAAAATATTAGAAAATTATCAACCAACTAACTAACTAAATGTGACGTGAAATAGGATGCATAGGGCTGAACGATTTGAGGAAAATATCTAATTGTGATAATTCTGATTAATATTATGAATGTGATTTAAACTGTGATTACTACCCATAAACTGCGGTGTGTCTTAGACAAGGCTGTGTGCAGTGTTGGGCACCCCAGTGGGCCGTGTTAGCTCCATTCCTGTTCAACCTGTACACCTCTGACTTCAGGTACAACACTGAGTCATTGTGGGGTGCATGAGGAATGGACAGGAGGAGGAACACAGGAAGCTGGCAAAGGACTATGTTGACCGGTGTAAGCTGAACCAGCTGCAGCTAAACATCAGTAAGACTAAGGAGATGGTGCTGGACCAGACCTGCCTTGGCACCAGTCACCATTGATGGAGTTGGTATCTGGGTTTGCACTTGGACAACAAGCTGGACTGAAAATGATATGTCCTTGTGCAAAATAGTGATCTTACAAAACAGTGCAACTGAGTTATAATCAAAATTTAAAAAAGATAAAATGCAGTATTACCAATATTACTGGTACTATTTCCTTCACTGTGCGTGGACAATATATCTTCTATACCAGCGGTCGGCAACACAAATGTGAAGAAGAACCATTTTCTTCTTTCAGCAAAAATCAAACCATCTTGGGAGCCACAACATTTTATGTCTAGTTTCCTATCTTGGCTGTAAATATGTCTGTATGTGCTGATGCACTAGTGTAGGATAAAAATGTTATACAAACGAAGACGCAGCCTTATTTTCTCGCATCTCTGGCAGGAAACCAGAATGTAACTGCTGCACAATTTAAGGCGGAACAGGAAAATTCGAACGACAAGCTGGCAAACGAGAAACTGAATGCGGCTTCACCACTTTCTAGTGTTTGACAGTTTCTTGTTGCAGATTAAACGTATCAGGAAACCAGCTGGAGTGATTATAAATGTAAATAAGTCTATTCGTCTCCAAATGATCTATGTTCGTCTTAAATCTCTCTCTTTGCCTTTTTGTTAGCTACTAGCTAGGTGAGATTGTGGTCTGTGTTGCTATGGTGACCAGCAGTCTGCGTGTCAATCTTCAGGGTTAAAGGGTGAATTAGCAGATATACATTAACTGCAGTTTTTAAGGCCATTTATTGTTAAATCTGTGTTGAACGATCAGCAGATTATTTTATTTTTACCTACAAATCCAATTCTGCTGTGGGCAGTAAAAGAGCTGCATATTGCCGACCCCTGACCTATACCAATATCCCGTTTTATTGACACACTGTGATCCTGCTTTTCAGTGTTAGTCATATTTTTAGTGATATATTTGACAGACAATGAATTTTATACTCAATATAAGATGCTCGTATAACAGCAGTTGCCAAAGATTTATTTATTTATTTTATTCTATTTTGTGCGCCTGACTTTACTTTCCTTTAGTTATGGTGGTTTGATACCTAACCATTATCTGTAATGAATGTAATTCGCTGTCGTTCCTCAGATTGCTCAAAATACATAAAAATGAAATAATTATGTGTTTTCTTTCTGGAAATGTTATTTCTGTCTGGTTAATGTTTACTATACTGTATAAATTTCCCTTTGGAGTAATTTTGAGAGAAGAAAACAGAACAAAACAGTTAAATCGAGTCAGATTTGTCAGACATTCTTTCAGCATAGAGAAGCAGCCCTCAGGAAGCATGGGCCTTTTACCTCTATTCACACCAATTAAATAACATCTGATACCAACACATATTCAGAAAATATTGCTATACTCAACTAGGATGCACTCAGACGCCTAGTTCTGGTCACGGACAGTGAAGTTAGGTAAATTAGAGATGCTCAGATATGGAAATTGTGGGCTGATGCCAACAATCTGGCATTTTTCATGTAAATATCTGCCGCTGCTGATATGTTAACGTTTGTAAAATGACTTGGATTAGCATTACAGTGATATACGTAATGTATTTCTGTAGGGTTACAAATGCAGTAAAATGACTAACGTGCAGATATTTTGGTGCTGCTTTACATTCTGCTCATGAAGAGTACAACAGCATCATCATCCAATACTCGTCTGAAATATCAGTCAAATCTAAACATCCGTCCGATATCCATATTTTTGTTTTAAGCAAATATCTGCCGATAACAATATGATTCCATATCACTATGCGTTTAACAGATAAACAATACATTTTTTTTCATATTTTATATTGAAATTGCATTTGAAAGAGTGCAATGTTCAAATTGCAAGAGTTGCATTTTAATTGCATCCTACATTTTTAAAAGCTGTCGACAAATTTGAAGTTGGGAAACTTAACCCAACAATTCAAAGCTCTTGGACTGCCAGTCTGGCACAATATATTCAGCAAGTCTGCAAGAGCTGGCCTTCTTGGCAAAAAAAGGTTGGCAGCACATTTTTTAGAAAATAATTGCAATTAAGTCACAATTGCAAGACTGGTCAGAAAAAAAAACGCAATTAGATTCTTTCCCCAAATCATCCAGCCTTACTTAGAAGAGACCGAGGAGCAAAACGATGATAACCATTCATATATTTTTCTAATTTTCAATATTAACTGTGACTATAAACGCAACTATATTGAAATCATTACACCCTTAGTTTCCTTGCGGTCAGAAAAACAATGTATATGACATCAGACAAGCAAGTCTCAACACTTCCAAGCTGTTAGAAAGCTACTCACCATCTCTACCACACCCTTTTCCAGATTTCCAAAGTGCTGTTCCATATTTGCAACCTTTCTTAAACCGAGTTAAAGAAGTCAAACCAGTGTTAAGCCGTTTCCCTCTCCAGAAGTTGGTCTGGAAGCCTCGCCCGACTGTGGATCACCACAAAGTGCTCTTCTTCTTGTCTGCCCAAATGTTCTGTTGTAGCTATGCTGGCTGGTGGAGAAGTTGAACACAGCCAGAATTGTTCTGGAGTCTAATCTCCATGTAACTTCGTTTTCTGTCACACAGCAGCCAAGATCTGTGCTCACATAAACAGCCTTCTATTTAGGTAAATTTGGTCAATTAGGGTTTTCAATATGCAAATTAGCTTCTCTCTAACGTTACACATTCTCAAGAATTTCCAATGTCTGTGAGGAGCCGGCGTCTTATGTTTTGGTCAGAGTTTCTTATCTGTTTACTCCAAAACAGGAAGCATAGAAGGACTACTGCATCTGGCTAGCAGATAATACCAAGTCCAGCTACAGCAAATAGGAAGTGTCGCAGAGAAGCGCCTATAAACGTCAAGCTCAAGCTCATTTTACAATCTGCTCATGTAGATTTAAAAGAACAAAACTTTCAGTAACATTTAGTGAATTCATCAGGTTTGGTATCAACCAACTAACTCTGAACAAACTCACTTTTTTCCAGCTAAAAATGTGACGTGAAATAGAACGTATTCTTGCGAGGGCTGAACGATTTGGGGAAAATATCTAATTGTGATTTTTCTGATTAATATTACGACTAGAGCTGGGCGATATGGCCAAAAATGTTATCACGATAAACAAAATTCATATCGTTCAATATCGATACATATCGTGATAAATGTTTAATCATTACTACTTTCAAGTTTGAAGGCTGATTTTTGCTCCAGGGTGGTTAACTGCTGTTTTAAACTATCCTTTATGGTCAGAACACGACGAACACTCACCAAACAGTGGAATATTTCACAAATCTGTCATGGGAGAGTGGGAGAAAGTTTCTGGTGAGCTGTTTTTACTCCTTTTAGATACGTTTAAACTGAAATCTGTGCTTTTGTGTCGTGTCTGATCTACAGTATTATCAATTCCCCGTGTTGTGGAGTGACGGAGCGCTGCTTAAAGTTAGCCAGCTGCTAAAAACAGCTAGCCTGGAAAGATAGCGCTCTCCCGCTCTCCAATGCCTCAGAGCTTCCTCAGTTTACTGTCATTTAAATCAGGGCTGTAACTGCATGAACTCACTTCTTTCTTCCACTTTCATTGCTTGTGAATGCACTAATACTAAAATATGACTGAGTGCTGTCGTTGTGTGGATAGACATGATTTAACGCTGCTAAAGTTGTTAGGATGTACAGAAAGAGGTGAGTTCGCTGTAGGACAGTATAGTTACACCACTGACCTCGTCACTCACACTCGGCCACAGGAGAACAGATCGCTGGTCGCTCCACTCAAACAGGGAATGTATAACTCTGCGTTTAGCCGCTGCTAAAGACTCATCTTACTCGTGGCCCCCTCCCTCTCTAATCATCTCGAAAAACTCGGAAGTGCGCCCTCTCCTGGCGAAAGCAGAGTAGTGTCGCTTTCCTTGCAGTAGAAAACGCCACCAGGGCTTTGGCTAGAATGTGGGAGTGTCGAACATGTCGTATCGCTCTATCGAGGAAAAGTTATACCGCGATAATTATCGTTATCGTTTTATCGCCCAGCCCTAATTACGACTGTGATTTATACTGTGATTACTACCCATAAATTGGGCTGTGTCTCAGACAAGGCTGTGTGCAGTGTTCGGGCACCCCAGTGGGCCGTGTTAGCTCCATTCCTGTTCAACCTGTACACCTCTGACTTCAGGTACAACACTGAGTCGCGTCATCTGCAGAAATTCTCGGATGACACGGCCATTGTGGGGCGCAAGAAGAATAGACAGGAGGAGGAATACAGGAAGCTGGCAAAGGACTATGTTGACCGGTGTACGCTGAACCAGCTGCAGCTAAACATCAGTAAGACTAAGGAGATGGTGCTGGACCAGACCTGCCTTGGCACCAGTTACCATTGATGGAGTTGACGTGGAGGTGGTATCTGGGTTTGCACTCGGACAACAAGCTGGACTGGAGCTGTAACACTCTCGCGGTGTACAAGAGAGGCCAAAGCCGTCTCTACTTCCAGAGGAGGCTGAGGTCTTCTGGTGTGAGCACTAAGCTCCTATGGACTCTACCAGTCTGTTGTAGGGAGTGCTTTACTCTATGCTGTTGTGTTTTGGGGCAGCAGCATTAGCAAAAGTGCTCTGAACAAAATAAACAAACTTATTAGGGAGGCTGGCTCTGTTATAGGAGTCAAGCTGGACTCTCTGGAGGTTGTGGCAGAACAGCGGACGCTCAACAAGCTGTTAGCCACCTTGGACAACACCTCACACCCTCTGCATGCCACACTGGATAAACAGAGAAGCACATTCAGTGCAGACTGTTACAGCTGCGCTGTGTTAAAGACGCCGTGTGAGATCTTTCTGACCCACTGATATACGGCTCTACAGCGAGTCTCCTCACTGCAGAGACGGTACTGATCTCCAGCTGCCTGAACTGAGCTGAACCACATCACTGTATCTTCTCTCCTGTTAACACACACTGTGCAATATATCATAACCTGCTGCTGTAATGACACCTTCACTATGCACTTTACACTGTAATACTTCTGCAACTCCTAGTTAGTTATGTCTATAAAGAATATCCACCTTGAGGCTTGACCCCTGAATGTAGTGCGCTGGACAACCAGTGGTTGTGATGGCATAACACTTGGAGATTTGGTTGCATCTGATTGGTCCAACTTATCTACATACAGTTCACAAGCTCTGTGTTGGGAGGTAAACATTCCCCCTCTTGAGCCATTTTTAATCATGTGGGCTATAATTTAAAAAACTGCAGCTCTTGCGATTTGAAAACTGCAACGTCAAATTGCGATTACGATATAAAAACGATTAATCTTTCAGCCTTAATTCTTGCACCACAAACTGATACCATCATATGTTTGGAAGAAATCATAATATTGATTTTTATTAGTACTGACCAGCCCTAGAGCAACGCTTTGAAGATAAACTGTAGTGACTGCACTGCTGCATTTTCCCAATAATGTTCCTGAAGAACATGGACTGCACATTTAAATGTTTTGTCCTGCTCTAACATCTCTCTTTAAAATGAAATTTGACACTTTTTAAAGGGGAATTGCACTGATTGTTTCAATTGTCTGCATAATTGAATGGCTGAGATGTAAATACAGTCAGAGTGGTTTGATGTAAAATTCAGAAATGTTCACAGTGGTGCTGATAGGAACCAGACGTCTGAGCAGTTTAATGCCTCTAAAACTCCTTCACAGAAAGTTATTGTACAAAATAGTTACAAATAGTCTACCTGATGCCCGAGACACTGCTTTACGACAGCTTCAAGAGTAGGTTTTGGCCTAAGGCTACATTCACATTACCAGGCTGAAGTGGCACAAATCTGATTTTTTGCCCGAATGTAACTCAGATCTGATGTTTTCAGGCTTTGTGGACACACAGATCTGATCTTTTCAAATCCGACCTGAGCCACTTTAGCTACGTTCACATTACAAGCCACATTGCCACATTGCTCAAATCCGATCTCTCTGACTCGATGGTTTACACGGGTTTAGGTAAGTGATTCAAATCTGTCATTAATGTGACGAACCGGCGTCCTGAAATGACCCACATGCGCACATCCTACTCAGTAACGTCACGTGAATGAATCACGTTCATCATCAGCGCAAACTAACGAGCAGAACGAGCTTCGCTGAGAAGATAATTAACTCTGATCAGCTCTCAGCTTCATTATTAGAGCGAGACGAAGGAGAAAAAGGTGAGTTGAGCTGCTTTTCCACCGTTTACAGGCTTTAACTTCTGTTCGGCGCTGCTGCCATGGTAACGCTGAATGACGGTGCACGCGCAGTGGAAAAAAAGCACATAAATTCCGATCTGAGCATCACATTAAGGTCACATGGCCACGAATCGAATACGTATCCGATCTAGGACCACATAAGAAAGTGGCTCAGGTTGGATTTTAAAAGATCAGATTTGTGTTCACACAGCCCTGAAAACATCAGATCTGAGTCACATCAGGACATAAAAAAAATCGGATTTGTGCCACTTCAGCCTGGTAATGTGAACGTGGCCTTTCACATGTGGTCTTAGATCGGATATGAATCTGATTCGTGGCCATGCGACCTTAATGTGACGCTCAGATCGGAATTCCTGTGCTTTTTTCCACTGCGCGTGCGCCATCATTCAGCGTTACCATGGCAGCAGTGCCGAACAGAAGTTAAAGCCTGTAAACGGTGGAAAAGCAGCTCATCTCACCTTTTTCTCCTTCGTCTCGCTCTAATAATGAAGCTGAGAGCTGATCAGAGTTAATGATCTTCACAGCGAAGCTCGTTCTGCTCGTTAGTTTGTGCTGATGATGCACGTGATTCATTCACGTGACGTTACTGAGTAGGATGTGCTCATGAGCGTCATTTCAGGACGCCGGTTCGTTTACATTAGTGACAGATTTGAGTCACTTACTTAAACAGGTGTGAACCATTGTGTCAGAGAGATCGGATTTGAGCAAAAAATCTGATTTTAGCAATGAGGCTTGTAATGTGAATGTAGCCTAAAACATTTTTGAACACATACAGGGATTTGCACAGCAAGAGCTTCCCAACATCATCAACATTACATATAAAGTCTCAGAAGGCACCTGTAGGTTCACTGGCGGTTTTCGGACAGTAAATAAAATGGTTACACTTACGTTTTTAAACATTGTGATCCCTGGTTCCTATCATCACCACTGTAAGGACGTCAGGAGTCAGTAAGTTTCTTCGTAAAGCAAAATTTGACACCAAAACACTCTGAATGACTTTGTTCTCCGCTCAAAGATTGAATTACGGATAAATTTTGGAAAATTGGTGAAATTCCCCTGCAATATCGAACTGAGACTTCAACAAATTGAGAATAATATTATTTCCTCCATGCCTATTTCGTTTAAACAGAGGCTGAAAAATCAAACGTGAATACTGTTTGACTTTGTTATCAGTTCCAAGTCCTTTAGACCTTAACCAGTGGTCAGTTCCTGACCACAGGACTGCTGACGGCTGGATATTTAAGTCTGGAGGACTATTCCTAATTAGTTTATTATACATGACGACTCTTTTCAGCCTGGTCTTTAGGCATCATCTCACAATTAACAGTACAGCACACAGATGAACACAGGGACCCTCCAGGACTCTGACCACCTCACACACAATGGCCCTCCCTCCAACCACCATATCATCTCATACTCCATTGACACAAGCATCTGGCCAGTGATGTGGACTTAGGACCCCCACCCCCATTAGATGGCTACTACAGCATTACACAGTAGCTGCTATGTAATACACTGTAAT